AGCCTGAACTATTAAGTTTTCCTTACATCCTGGAATCCCATTTCAGTCTATGCAAAAAATGAGACAGCAATTACATAAATGGAAAGAAGCTTGCAATTTGTGCTTTTTTATTTACAGTTAAAGCAATTTGATCAACAAATTATGACTGTTCCCTTGTACTCAAAAAAAATAATACTTCATTCTTCTTTTACTCTACCTTTCATCTGATGATCTCTACGTATTTGACAAAGATTGATTAATTTAACCTCACCATACACCTATCAAGTAGACATAGTGTGTATCAATCATCATACATATTTTACAGAGGGATACCCTAATGTACACGGATGCCAGCGCTTACATTTTCAGAAGAGCTCACACATCCTGACTGCCTCCATTTTTGGATGGTGAACTTGAGACATTTACAGCTTGCTTTCCACTCACACTTTCAACTGTCAACAGTGGGACCTGCGGGTGCTCAGCCGCTCTGAAAATAAGGCTCTAGGAGATCTCGTGTTGACCATCCAACTGAAGCATCTAAAATTAGAGGACACTTTTGAAAATGTAAACTACACAGCAGACTACCAGCAGAACTGGGAATAGTATACCTAGATCCTGTGAGCCACCTATAGAACATCTCCTCTACATAGTGTTGTAACTAACATAATACCCTTTAGCAAAAGTAGATCCTAAAATGTTCAATTCAGTCTTCCCCACCAATGAATTCAAGGTTCATAAATACAATGACCTGAGCCTGCTACAGAGGTTGACATGAACACCCGTCCTGAGAAATAACCCACAAGTAGATGATGTTGTACCTTTGCTCTTGCTGGCAGAAGGCCTAATTTAATCAAGGGGGTTTTCAACAATGTCCTAAAGGCAGTGACTCACTATTAAAATAATATTTTAAATATATAGAGCACCCATGCCCAAAAGCCACTGGGTGTCTAAAGAAATAAAGGCAGGGTAACATGATACATTCCAGAACTGTCAAACAAATATTCCCATTAGACCCACTTTTCATCCCTCTATAAAGATGACCCACATAAAACTAAAACAAACAAAGCACAGGACTGTTACAGGGGCCACAGCTGTAGCAATAGATAATACGATTGGCTATATAAATGCCCCAACAGCTCATGGATTTCAAGAGTGCATCTGCGCTCTTTGGAAAAATAAGATTTTTGAGACACAAGGACCTCTGCATAGTACACACTGCTGTTGTGGCATAAAACTGACTTTTGACTAACTTGGTTCATTTTTAAAAGAAAGATAAATGTACATTTAGCAATGTTCATTCACTTCTTGTGGAATCCTAAATTACTTGTTTCAGAGTAGCAGCCATATTAGTCTGTATCTGTAAAAAGAAAAGGAGTACTTGTGGCACCTTAGAGACTAACAAATGTATTAGAGCATATGAAAGCTTATGCTCAAATAAATTTGTTAGTCTCTAAGGTGCCACAAGTACTCCTTTAAATTACTTGTGTAGCTATCTGCCTTAGGTTTTGAACTTCCGTCCACCACTGTAGTATTCGAGTGCCTTCCCCGTTAAATAGACAGACAATAATGAAGTCATTCGAGCCCAGATTCACTGATTTCAATGGAATTTAGAAGTCTAAATACCTTTGTGGATCCAGGCCTAGAAGACTTCTTGAAATCTCTGGCTCTTCCCCCATTTGGGGTTCTAGAAATCTCTGCTTGGGGGAAGAGCTGCTTGTTTGTTTTATTTTTTATATTTTTTTCAGGAGAAAGGAGTCAGTGATTGATGTTGTAAATGTCTCTCTAGTTATGGTGGGAACCCTTTGTCAAATAGGAAAACCTCTGAATTAATTGTCCATCCCCGCCATTTCTACTTGCAATAAATTTCCATGACAAATACATTTCAAGCCCTGCTCTACAGAGCAGCTTGGTCCTGCAAACAGCACAGAGAGCCAGGAATTTCCAGTGTTCTAATCTCTGTTCTGATGCTGATCCCTGTCACTAGCCTCGGGCAAGTCATTTAAGCTCTCATTCTCAATTTCTCCCTTTAAAATTGAAATAACAACATCTGTCTCACTGGAGTGTTGTGAGGTTAATGAATTAGCTAACGTTAACTTTGAAGAACATCTAGAGACATTTAAGAAGATATGGGACTAGTATCTGAGACTGAATATATATTCATTTGTAATCACATTGTGTTTTTTGGATTGCCTAAATATAAATATTGTTTTATTATTTAGATATATAAATGTTTTATAGGGTGTATTTTGTGCTATTTAAGCAAATAAATAAAAATACTTTATAAGTTAATGGTTGTAAAGTGCTTTGACAGTAATCAATTCTAAGTATGTATTATTATTACTACAATTATTTCTATTGTGGTAATGGCCTGGGAATCCCAAAAAAGGCTGAATGAAAAAAAGCATGACACAGCTCACACTACTTTAAATATTATATTAGCTCATGTGGAAGCTGCAACCTGGGTAAAAGAATCATATAGCAAATCAATCTCATGCACCAATCATAAGGCAGTCAGAGCACCTTACCATAGATTGCAAAAGTTTCACTCAAAAAAAGTCACATTTCTTTGATCCAGTGGTTTATGCTCAACAGTTCTTAAGCTTGAGCATTTTTCCTACATGCTATTACTGATAACAATTTACAATACATTTTATTTATACAGCACCTAAGCTATAAAAATATCGTGAGCTTTACAAAACAACAAATCCAGATGCCAAAACAAGCATACCAGATTAAAAGAAGAACAATTAAAACCAATATAAAACCTTAAATAAAATCAACATGGGGGTATATCCAAAGAGGATTTAGGCAAATTACTTTTCCAAGCACACCAAATCTTTCCTAGCGTAACATGTATTATGGACCAAAGACATCTAATCAAATAGATCTTACATGTGCAAAACATCCCACATTTTCTGAAGACCAATTCTCTTTCTGGTTTATTTTATTGCTGGTCTTCAAGTCTGTTTCCTCTTATTCACATTTTGCCTCTTGTACTTTATGGTGAGTTTTTGCAGAGTCCAAGAGTTATCATGGAAGACACTGAACCAGATTCACAGCTGGTGAAAAAGGCACAACCCAGTTAATTTTAATAGAATTAAATCCACTTATACCAAATGTGATTTTGTCCATCCCCTGTCCTGTTTTTTCCCCTTAAGTGTGACAATTATGGATGGCATAATGACCAATATACCAAGAATAGTTCATCTAAGTGGGTGGCATAAACCTAAAAAGAAAGAACACGGATTCTAAAAATATCCATTTCCTGAAACACTGCATCATTAGGTAGATACTAGTAGTTTTCCAATCAGTTTTCTCTTTTTGCAACAAACATACTCCTTCTCTAAACTATCAAGCATGGAGAACTACATCATTTCTACATTTCCAAAGCTTTAAACTACCAGACAGCATCCAAAGGGTCAAGTGTTCAAAAAGCACATTTAAGTAAACCACTTGTGTCTTCGGGAAATCAATGAAATACACTGAACAGGGAAGTATTTGATAAGGAAGAGACTGAAGTGCATTGGCAAAGCTGTGAAAGGGGAGCTTACACATGGCAATATGCCTGCACCAAGCCTGGTTCACATCAGTGTAATGCTATGCTTTTAGGTGCACTGAATTCAACCCCAAAAGTCAAAACAAGAAATGAGTACAGCTGATCTTTTTATCAAAAGCATGTGGATCTCACTCTTACAAAGCCACCCTTCCAGCTCTGTGATATAAGTACAAGGCCTAAAATAACTTTTTAAAATTAACATAAGCTGCACTTTTTTCCCCTTTTTGTTATAACTGCTAAAGCTAAATACGAAATTACCAAAGTCATCCAGGAAGTCTAAAATAGTGTATTCTTCACTCTCTCTGGCCTGTTCATTCTCATACAATATTGGCAACTGTCCATTTTATATAATGCATTTCATCAACAAAAGGGCACCAGTCCAAAAACTGGATACATCTTCCAGTCCAATGCTAGCTGAAATCTGCTCATTTCCACAAGAGTGAATCTGTGCAGCATTTAACACCTAGCTAAGAAGCTAACCAACCCAAAGTGCTTTAAAACAAGGTAGCGTTCAGCAGTTAGTGTTCCAGAATATGTCTGTTACTGAACCAATTCCAACACAAGAATAATATACAAATGAAATTTGCCCTCCCTCAGCATACAGCTGAATATTAATAATTATAACAACTTTAGTTCTTAGAGCTTCTAAATTGCCAGTTGTAGATTTTGTATAGCCAAGAATAGTTTTATTGGCCCATAACTATAACCATACCAGTATTCCCTGTATACACTCCTTCCACCACCACCCTTGCTGCACCTCACGAAGAACTAGCAAACTCAGTCCTACAAAATCAAGTCAATTTCAGCACAGAGAATAATTTCACAACAGTCCCACAACAATGTTGCTTTTTAAGTTTTTCAGGTGCCTGTGGGAGTTTTCCATGGCTCCTAGGGGAGTAAAAGCTTTTTCTTTCCCAATATGTACAGTTGCAGCTTGTGAGCATCATTAATATTTGACTACAGACAGATTTCTCTCTCAAAAGGTTAGTGTTCCCCTCTACTGGGTGGAAAAAAAAATACACAACTGCACAAGAAAAAAGAAAGATGCGGGACAGGAGACCCAGAGTGAGAAAAATAAATCTGGAATCTCAAACTACTCACTCAAGAATCAAAAATGAAAATGTATTCAAGGTCTCCAAGGCTGACAGCACAAAATACATTATAGTTTTGATCTTTAGAGGGGAAAAAGGGAAGAGGTGTAACATACACACAAAGGAGGAATCCCCTGGTGCGGGGGGGGGGGGGGGAAACAAGGCCAGATGTGGGGGGAGACATGACCACACAGATCCACTTTCTGCACTAAGTGATTTGCCATCATTTTAAAAGTCATCAGACCAATCTCTGAATACATAAATGCCATCATTAATAAAGATTTTTTAATATATATCACCAGAAAATCTATTTGCAAATAACAGAAGAATATTTATTAAATTTAAAAAATATATATTTCTATCTTCAATCTTACCTCCAGAAACAAGGAGAGCAGGAATATGACCCACTGCTGGAAATGGTTCATTTCGCCTCTTCTTTCTGTAGCCTTATTTTCTCAGATGTACATGAAAGCTGTCAGCAGAGCGAGCCCCATCACTGTCACTGGGGGAGGTGTAAGAAGAGCATCAGGGGGTGAGCATGGTGGGGGGCGACACCCAGAGGTGATGCCTTGTGGGGGTCGGTAGGCTGGCACAGCTCCCCGGGGTTTGGGGGGGAGGCGGCGCACAGAGGGATCCCCTGGCAGGGTGGAGACCAGGAGAGATTGGGGGAGCCACGCCCACCCCGATCCCCTAGCGAGGGGGAGGAGGTCAGGGCCGGTCAGTCCTCAGTCAGGCTGCCCTTCGCCTTCCGGGCAGCAGCTGCGGGGGGACGGTCCCGTGCGGGGCGCCTGGCTCGGAGCCGCGGGAGCAGCAGCAGCGGCGGCGGCAGCAGGGAGCGGATCCGGGCGAGGGCGGCTGGAGCGGCACAAAGAGGCCCGGAGCCGCGGGGCGGGGAGAGAGGAGCGGCGGGGACCCGCCCCCCGGGACCGCCCCGCGGCGCTGCCTGGCCAGGGAGCCGCCGCAGTCTTGGGCCGGGAGCAGCCCTGGGCCAAGGCTGCCCGGGCGGAGAAGGGCGCTGGGGCCGTGCCCGGGCCGCAGGGGGCGGGAGCTGCTAGGCACCTGGATGGCAGAGCAGCCCTGGGGGGGAAGGAGACCCGAGCCCCCCTCTGCTTCCCGCTGAGCTGGCCCTGCAGCCTCCCCCGCGCTGGGGGCTGGAGAGTTACCAGCCCTCGGGCCTAGCCTCCTGCTGCCCAGCTTCCTGGTGTCCAAAACGCCGCAGATTTTCCAAGGCTACACTAGAAACGCTCAGCCAAATGGTAGCGGCTAGCCCCGTGCCAGGCCTGGAAGGGTTATGGGTGGGAGATTACAAAAGCCTTAGCGGAAAGCTTCCATCAGGCAGCCTCTGGGGTTCAGGGGCCATGCTCTGTAGGTGGGAGTAATGAGTACACTTGAGAACCCCCTATTGTGTTGGATGTTCCTGCAGATCTTCAGAGGATTCAGGTACCTTGTAGAAGAATTTAGGAACAACTTTTCAAAAGGAACCACTGATTTTGGATCTTCCATTTCTCATTGGTAAGGCTGCCAGTCTGTCACGGAGGTTGGGGTTTCCGTGAGTTTCTGGGATCTCCCTGATGTCTGCAGCAGCGGTGCAGCTGACCCTAGGGCTGTCCAGCTGGGGAAGTCCTGGGGCCCGCCGCACCTGCCCCAGCTCCGGTGGCCCCAAGCAGCTTGACCAGAGGAGATATCGGAGCAGCAGGGGACCTCGGCGCTGCCCTGGAGCAGAGGTCTCGGACCGGCCGTGGTGCCCTAGGGGCCCCCGACGGTATCTAAGATTTAGTCGGGGGTATTTATAGTACAAGTCATGGACAGGTCAGGGGGCCATGAATTTTTGTGTATTGCCCGTGACCTGTCCATCACTTTTACTAAAAATACCCGTGATTAAAACGTAACCTTACTCATTGGCCAACGTGAGATACCCTGGCCTGGATTTGTCAGAAGTCAATAGTAACTGCAAAGTGATGGCCACCATTTTGGCCAACATCAAGGACTGAACCAGGGGTCTCTGACCTAAAAGCAAGAGTCTGTGCCATTTAAATTGAAAAGTTAGCAAAGAGCTGTAACAGATTGGCAGCCTTTGTGACTTGGACATAGAAGAGGACATCTAACATACTGACTGGTGGGTTACACACACCAGCTAGGAAAATCAGATCCAAGTTATTTGAGAGGCCACTTTTGAAAATTTGGCCCATAATCCTTAACATGAAATGAGAAGCAATGCATATACATAACTGTCTAAAATCAAATATAGGCTCAATAGTCTTCAATAACAGGGCTCTGTCCTGCACTTGCATTAGAATTTAAACTCACTTTCCCTCTATACTCCTAAGGGAATTCTGCATCAAAAAATTAAATATTCTGCACACAATATTTTAAAGCTCTGCAAAATTCTGCACATTTTATTTGTCAATAAATTAATTTTATTGATTTTATTCTAGCTGTGGGAGCAACCAGCACCCAGACTGTGACCCTGATCACTCCCAGGCTCCACCCTCACTCTGCGTCTTCCCCTAGGGACCTGCACTCACTCCACCTCTTCCACCTAGGCGCCTCCCGCGCACCACAGAGAGGAGCAGCCGGCCAGGCCTCAGGGCAAGGGGCGGAGAGAAGCTGGGAGGGGGGCATCTGGAGAAGAGGCAGAGAGGGGTGAGGGCGGTCTTAGGAGAAGAGGAGCAAGCAGCAGGTGGGCAGGGAGGCCTTGGGGGAAACAGGCAGAGAGGAGCGAGTGGGGGAGCCTCGAGGAAGAGATGGAGTGAGAGTGGGCCATGAGTGCGCCAGGTGTGGGCACGCAGGCTCAGCCCAGCAGGATCCAAGTGTGGAAGGGTTTTGGAGGGGGGGGGAATCCAGGTGTGAGATGAGAGGGTTCTGGGTGGGGCAGTCTGGGTGGGAGCAAATCAGTGTGGGGGGGGGGTCTCGATGAGGCGGGGGATCTGGATGCACAGGGGCTCGCTGTGGTAGTCATAGAATCATAGAATATCAGGGTTGGAAGGGACCTCAGGAGGTCATCTAGTCCAACCCCCTGCTCAAAGCAGGACCAATCCCCAATTAAATCATCCCAGCCAGGGCTTTGTCAAGCCTGACCTTAAAAACTTCTAAGGAAGGAGATTCTACCACCTCCCTAGGTAACGCATTCCAGTGTTTCACCACCCTCCTAGTGAAAAAGTTTTTCCTAATATCCAACCTAAACCTCCCCCACTGCAACTTGAGACCATTACTCCTTGTCCTGCCCTCTTCTACCACTGAGAATAGTCTAGAACCATCCTCTCTGGAACCACCTCTCAGGTAGTTGAAAGCAGCTATCAAATCCCCCCTCATTCTTCTCTTCTGCAGACTAAACAATCCCAGTTCCCTCAGCCTCTCCTCATAAGTCATGTGTTCCAGACCCCTAATCATTTTTGTTGCCCTTCACTGGACTCTCTCCAATTTATCCACATCCTTCTTGTAGTGTGGGGCCCAAAACTGGACACAGTACTCCAGATGAGGCCTCACCAATGTCGAATAGAGGGGGACGATCACGTCCCTCGATCTGCTCGCTATGCCCCTACTTATACATCCCAAAATGCCATTGGCCTTCTTGGCAACAAGGGCACACTGCTGACTCATATCCAGCTTCTCGTCCACTGTCACCCCTAGGTCCTTTTCCGCAGAACTGCTGCCTAGCCATTCAGTCCCTAGTCTGTAGCTGTGCATTGGGTTCTTCTGTCCTAAGTGCAGGACCCTGCACTTATCCTTATTGAACCTCATCAGATTTCTTTTGGCCCAATCCTCCAATTTGTCTAGGTCCCTCTGTATCCTATCCCTGCCCTCCAGCGTATCTACCACTCCTCCCAGTTTAGTATCATCCGCAAATTTGCTGAGAGTGCAAACCACACCATCCTCCAGATCATTTATGAAGATATTGAACAAAACCGGCCCCAGGACCGACCCCTGGGGCACTCCACTTGACACCGGCTGCCAACTAGACATGGAGCCATTGATCACTACCCGTTGAGCCCGACAATCTAGCCAACTTTCTACCCACCTTATAGTGCATTCATCCAGCCCATACTTCTTTAACTTGCTGACAAGAATACTGTGGGAGACCGTGTCAAAAGCTTTGCTAAAGTCAAGAAACAATACATCCACTGCTTTCCCTTCATCCACAGAACCAGTAATCTCATCATAGAAGGCGATTAGATTAGTCAGGCATGACCTTCCCTTGGTGAATCCATGCTGACTGTTCCTGATCACTTTCCTCTCATGTAAGTGCTTCAGGATTGATTCTTTGAGGACCTGCTCCATGATTTTTCCGGGGACTGAGGTGAGGCTGACTGGCCTGTAGTTCCCAGGATCCTCCTTCTTCCCTTTTTTAAAGATTGGCACTACATTAGCCTTTTTCCAGTCATCCGGGACTTCCCCCGTTTGCCACGAGTTTTCAAAGATATTCTGTATTCTGGGTGCAGAGGCAATGGGACTCTGCAGGGGAGTCTAAGTAAACGTGGTTGGGGCTCTGCTGGAGGGGTCTGGGTATGGGGGAACTCAGCGGGGGTCTAGGTGCATTGGGAGTGAGGCTTGGTGGGATGGGGGTCCAGCTGCAGCTGGTTGGGGCTTGTGGTTGGGGGTGGTCGAGGTGCAGGGGGATGGGGCTCATCAAGGTCAGAATTCAAGTGTGTGGGGGTCTGGGTGCAGGGGGGGTTCCGGGTGCAGGGGGCGAGGCGCAGCAGGGTTGGCGGTTTCTGGGGGGGAGGCTCACCAGCAGGGTATCGGGGGATTAGATGCAAGGAGGTTGGGCAGATGGGGAACAGGAAGTGGAGGGGCTTGTGCAGAGCTTCCTGCAGGTTGGGGGGGTGGCTGTCTGACCCAGCCCTGGCCCCAGCTGCTCCATGCAGGAGAAGAGGAAATCTCATCTTCTCCCGCCCCTAGTCCGGACTAGCAACTGAACCTGGTGCAGGGTAGGAGCCACCGGCCAGGGGCTCTACTCACTGTGATTTACCTCTCTGCCGGCTGCTTTGGATATCCAAAAGTGACACATCCATGCTGTTGGGGAGGGCACATGACTGCTCTTCCAGCTGCTCTTCCAGAAAGTCATTTTTCTGCAGGGAAGCAAAGAAATCTGCAGGGGACATGAATTCTGCACACATGCAGTGGCGTAGAGTTTCCCAAGGAGTAGCTCTCAAATTTCTATAATCTCATGTAATTTACAAGATATGCCTTGGAGAGACACCAAACATGTTTGTGCCTCATATTGCAATTTAGTTATTAGAGGTGCAAATGCATCTGCAGATGACATATTCCTTAACACAATATTGGTTACATTCCTCAGTGGAAGATGGGTGCTCCTGCATACATTGATGGGAGCTCTGTGGCAATAGAGAGATACGGAGAGAATTCTGGCTGCAGAATTGGCAGTTGGAAAGGAACTGGAAAGAAGAGAAGGGACTGGGAAAAGCCAGCGGAGAGAGAAAGCACGCACAGGGAAAGGCTTGGAGAAGGATATTAGGGGCCTATGACCTAAGGTTTTTTGCTGGCCTCAAAGGCTAATTCTGCGTGCACTTCCAGCTGATAGTCCACTGACCATGTACATTGCCCTGAGTGGCTGACAGCCAGCTGTTAGATATTCTTCATTCTCTAAATAACCGAATACACATTACTGACACCAAAGTTAGAGTGAGGATCAATCAGGTGTCAGGCGTTTTATCTTGGTAAAATAAGGGGGGTCCAGTGGATATAATGTACTTAGATTTTCAGAAAGTCTTTGACAAGGTCCCTCATCAAAGGCTCTTAAGCAAAGTAAGCGGTCATGGGATAAGAGGGAAGGTCCACTCACGGATCAGTAACTGGTAAAAGGATAGGAAACAAAGGGTAGGAATAAATGGTCAGTTTTCAGAATGGAGAAAGGTAAATAGTGGTGTCCC